TCACACATTGATTGATTTCACAATCGTGATTTTTTTTATCTGGGATCATGAATACTAAAAGTGCGTATCTACTATGTAAGATAATAAGACACATTATTGGGATGTTGCAATAATCCTCTAACTAAATGTAAACTCAGGAAATTCAGACTAAAGGTTAACCTTAAAATGCACACGTTAAGGTATGAAAATGCACAATACAGACCCAAACAACATCAAATCCAACCTGTAGCAGATCTTTAGAAAACCCCTACTGTTATGATTTGTGCATAACAGAGTTTGTGATCTCAGGCTAGATTAAACTGATGTCCGCATATTCATTCAATATTTTCATTCCTTTATGATGTCAAAAGAAGAGCTAGAATGATTTGTTTTCTCCGTTTCCTACTTAACCTTCAAAAATGTCCAAATATAGTAAACCTAAAACAGTATTGTACTGGCACCGATTGGGACATCTATCACACATTTTACCCCAAATCAGAGATGTACCTACTCTCAGACTGAGAGCAACTGTTACTCTAAAATTACAGAAGGATTCTAATTTAACACTCGGAAATTGGCTCCGAGGTCGGACCCAGAGAGTAACAGTCGATGGAAGCAAATCGTTATGGTGCTCCGTGACCAGTGGCGTCCCCCAAGGCTCTGTCCTTGGACCAGTTCTCTTTAACATCTCATCCACGATGTGGACATTGGTGTCAGAAGCACACTGGCCAAGCTCACCAATGACACTAAACTAGTGATCCAGACCGACTTGGATAAGCTTAGCAAGTGGGCAGATACAAACCTGATGATGTTCAATCAGAAAAATGCAGGATACTACACCTTGGGGGAGGCACACACCTGCAGCACGCTTATAGGCTCGGCAGTGCTACTCTCGCTGGCACCACAGCTAAAAGAGACTTGGGGGTCATGACTGACCACAAGATGAACATGAGCCACCAACGTGATGTCGCAGCTGGTAAAGCAAACAAACAAACAAAAAAAACAACTTTGGCTTGCATCCATAGATGCTTCTCAAGTAAGCCTCAGGATGTCATCCTCCCGCTGTACTCGGCCTTGGTGAGGCTGCAGCTGGAGTACTGCATCCAATTCTGGGCTCCACAATTCAAGAGGGACATGGAGAAACTTGAGAGTCTAGGGGAGAGCCATGTGCATGATAAGAGGGAAGAAGAACAGGCCTTATGATGAGAGGCTGAGAGCCATGGGACTCTACAGCCTGGAAAAGCGCAGGCTCAGGGGTGACTTGGTGGCCACCTATATCAGGGGTGTGCATCAGGGGAACACCTGTTCACCAGAGCGCCCCAAGGGATAACAAGGACTAATGGTCATAAACTCCTCCATGACCGTTTCAGGCTGGACATAAGGAAAAACTTCTTTACTGTCCGAGCCCCCAAGGCCTGTAATAGACTCCCTCCAGAAGTGGTGCAGGCACCTACTCTGGACTTATTTAAGAAACATTTGGATGTTTATCTTGCTGGGATCCTTTGACCCCAGCTGACTTCCTGCCCCTGGGGCAGGGGGCTAGACTTGATGATCTTCAAGGTCCCTTCCAGCCCTTATGTTTCATAGATTCACAGACATTGTCGTTAATCTGAGATTGTCAAGCACGTTTGCATAATTATTAAAAACAACATACAGAGAACACCACAAAAGAACACTAACAAGGCTATTACCCAGGATCAAAGGCAGATCCAGAAGCGGCCTAGTTGTGTGACCACAACCCCGCTCTCTAACTCTGGGGCAGGAGCAGCAGCTGGGGTCATTTTTAAGTCCTCAAATAAGGTAAGAGTCCTGTGACCTGCCCCTTCCCTTTTGTGCTTAGGGCACATCCCCTCCCCATCTGTTGCTGTGTCCCCACCATCCCAAGAGTAAGGGGGATCTCCTGTCCCCATCCCTGTCTACTCCCTCCAGGTACTCCTTGCAAGCCTGGGAGCAGGCACTGGGAGGGTAAACCCACCTGTCCACTACTGCTGTCCCAGGCTCAGCCCAGCTCCCACACAGCCTAGCTGGAACAGCTCTGGAGCTCCCCTTGTCCTCAGGACAGCAGGGACACAGTGGCAGGTTGGTGGAGGGAGGGAAAGTACCTCTGAACAGGAAGGAAAGAGGGGTAATTCTTAAGTCCCTAAAGCAGATAAGAAAAAAAGTTCCTGACTGCTGACCCCCACCCCCCCACACCCCCCCCCGCATTGGTCTGCCCCCCCTATTGGGTGGAGCACCAACCCCTGTAGTGCTGGTCACTGTTCTCGCACCCCCTTTGTAAAATGCTAGATTCACTTCTGCCCAGGTCCTATTTGCCCCCCCCCCTTAAAAAAAAAAAAAAATACAGTCAAGAGCATCACAAGGCAGTCGGAGCACAGTTATCAGTTGTCCCATATTCTTACTTGGCCCATTCCTCTGCACACGCCTTTCCCAGCTTCCCTGCCTTCCACATCCTGCTTGTGTAAATACAAGCAGACCCATGTGTACACAAGAACACAGACACATTTCCTATTGTTTCCCAAATTCCCCTGAACAGCGATTAGAAGTCTTTCCCCTTCCACACACAATATATCTGGTGCAAACAATCATTTTTGAAAATGAATTAAGAGGATCAATGGACATTTAATTGTTCATACCTGAACATATGTTCTCCAATAACGTCCCTTTTCATAAGCAAGCAGTATCATGAGTGGATTTGTGTCACGGAAGACAGCAGTGGGTCTAGGACTTTCAGAAAATTCTCTTCCTGGTGCTATATACTCGAGATGCCTGGGGTGTTGCAACTAAAACAGTAGTGCAAACTTCATGATTGTTTACTCTGTTGCATAACAGACAAGCATGTGAGAATATATATGTAAGGTTCTTATTTTTAGAGGGGAAGTGTGCTATTTCCAGATGCTTCCAAACCTATTCAAGTTAACAATCTCAATTTCTGCTTTATAAAGCACAACTTTTAATTTTTAGAGCAGGCTCTGTAAACTGCCCGGTGAATTAGTCTATAGCATCTCTCTTCTAGAAAGTACCCATTAAAGTTAGGATTGGGACATACTTAAATTTGCATCCACCCTATCTTTTTGCAAGACTCACCTTCAGGCAAAGCCAAGCATGGAAAATTTCAGCCTAGAAGTGAATGAAACTGCATCTGGAAAGAACAAGCAAAATGTCTGCAGCCATTTTTATTTTAGCAAGGCTGAAAAGAACACAACAGAAAACATGACTTGTTTTCCTCATTACCAAACAATGTAGATTTTTTTTTAGGTATAAATAACAAATGTAAAAATAAAATGCAAACATTGCCATGTGTGAATCCCAAGATGACAGGATGTCTCCAATTTTTCTTGCATTCAACAACAGCCTGAGAGTTTGAACTTGTAATTAAAAAGCTTTCCCCCTGAATTATGAAACTAGTTATAAGAAAGTAAAAAATGGCACCTGCCAGAGAAGAAATTCATCTTCCTGCACTCACCCTGTCTACCTTGTAAAGGTGTGAAAGATACAGCACCTTTGCAATATTTAAAATAGCATTAAGCATAAGCCATTAGATGATAAAACCTGTATGAATGCAACAGTGAAGTTACTGACTCCTCTTTTGATTTTTAGCTGAGTTAAAACTAAGATAAAAAAAAAAAAAAAGGACTGGACTGCCTAAAATAAGATGCATATGGAGACTAGATCCCCAAGTCTGGGACAGGAAACCTGAAAGGTTGATGTCTCTACAGGTGGCTGTGTGGCACAGCCTGCAGTGCTGGGGGAGCTCGTGGCACATCAGCTGGGATGGTGGGGGTGCCACTCAATTGTATGGTACAGAAGGGGGAAGGGGGCGATGGCCTGCACAAGCCAGGCATAGATGGCTTGGCTTGCAGCCTCCAGCTGCTGAGATACTGGACAGCTCTGCCCTAACCCCGATTAAAGTCCAGGGACTAGCAGTCCTCTGCCTAAACCTAGAGCAAGCCTCTCGGGAGAAGACAGACATTCTCCAAGCAAATTTAACACAGATGAACAGGGAAAACATGGAAACGTCCCTCTATGTCTAATAACTTAGCAATTAGAGCAGTCACGGAGGAAGAAAGAGATCCCAGTTTAATTCCTTCCTTTGCCTGAAGGGATTCAAAGCCACATCTCCAGCCTCTTGAGAAACTGCCCTGCCCTGCCACCATTCTGCCAGGTCACTGTGGGCGAGACGAGCATCATTCCTCCTGATAAAGCTGTGGCACTGTGCAGGAAAAGATTCATTAGGCTGCAGAAAGAGCAGGAGCTGGAGCATGACCCTGACCTAGAGCTTGGGTAGGCATTCACCTGGGAGAAAGACGACCTGGATTCCAGTCCCTACTCTATGGATTGTTTCAATATTTTATTCAGTCACTGTTTAGAACTAAAAAGAGAGTTACATAAAAAAAGTCCTCGGTTCCTTGAAAAGGAAGGTACAGATACCTACATAAAAGGTGAGAATTCAGAGCTAATGGCCACAAGTCCATGGAGGTTCCTTTCTGATGCCCCAATTGCTTTAGGAGGGGAATTTATGACTCACCCCATGCTCAATGCACCACAGCTGCATGCTCAGTGTACAGACTTCAGGCAGTTGTCTCATCGGTGTGTTGAGCTACCCAATTCTCCTTGGGCATTATTAGGTAGGAGTGCTGGACTTGGGGCTCTGGATCCTTCTCTAGAACTAGGGACTTAACTTCTCAGTGTCCAAGGTCTTAATTAAATTAAAAGGTCTAATATCAATCTTACAAGCTTACAGCACAAGTATGTAATATATTCTTTTTTTTCCCCTGCATCATGTAGTTTAATACATTACCGTGTTATAATTTATTAATTTTATAGAGTGTGTGCAATGGAGCAAAGAAAGAATTTCTACCAGAACTTCACTTTTGCATTATCCAAGTTTGATTCTAGCTTTACGATGATAAAGCCAACATGAAGTTAAGTGGAGCCTTTGCTACTCCAGCATTTTTTTTTAAAAGGGTATACCATAAAATGAAATGACTTGCATGCATTTAGGAAACAGTTTTCAGTGAAATTGTAGTTTGACTTCAGGCCCAGGAAACTGCAGCACTTTTAGCTGCTGAGGCCTATGGTAAAAGGCAAAAAGGGGGATCCAAATACAATTTAGTACTAAAAAACACAGATGTGGAAGAGTGCAGTACTATCAGTACAAAATGATGATGCCCAGAAACCCCAGTCGTGGACCAGGGTAGCCCCTGTTCAAACATAAAACCTTCTCTGGTTCAAACAGCTTACACATCTCTACTTCTAAGCACTAGAATCTGGAATTATCACTGCATTGCAGTCCATAAAGCACTGCCAATCTAGCAGCGTCTTCAGATCTTAGAATGACAGTAGAAAGAATTACAGCTAACATTTTAAAGTAGAGGTACTTTAACATTAGATCTTCAAGAGAATCACTGATTTACTGTCATTTGTTAATACCTAATAACTCATCCTTACGTATAGTATACTGTCACATATACTGGAAATAAATTTGGGGCTTTGAGACAGCAGACCGGATACTTAAAACGCAGCTGCAGATTTATCTTTAAGTGTCAGCTGGCATCCAATTTAGCCAGCTCAGTTTAAACACGCCGATAAGTCCAAAAGGAATGTCCCTCACAGTCTGAGCATCAGAGCATGTTTATCTTTTGGGAACAGTCCCTTGCTTACTAGTGAGAAATCACTTCAAAGTGTCAGCCTTGGCACTCTGTTGCCTTACAATGGGTTCATGCTCTTACAGATTCTCTCAATGTGAAGCAACAGTTTCAAAAGTGCAGCTGGGTTGTATGGGAAAAGGTTTTTTCTCTGTAGCCTAGAAATTGCCTTTTGTAGTTCTTCCAAACATTTCATTGCTTTGTGAAGCATTCCTTCTATGGGGGGTGGGTTATTTGAAGTAAGCCTACATGCCAAGAATGACGAGGTATTAGAACCTTTTTGTCCCAGAGGCAACATTTTTGATTCAAATGTATTTGGTTCATCATCTATGACCCTGGAAACAGCTTCCCTTATCTTTGTACTGCCTTGTTTATTTATAGGCATTTGCTTCACGTTTGCCAAAGACTCCTTTCCAACGGATTCCGAATCAGAGTCTTCTGAGCTGTCATAATTAACAAGGCTTTGAAGGCAGCCCAAGGAAACTGTGTTAGACAGGTCAGATTTTGCAACTTGGTCATCACAATGCTGCCTTGTGGGTGCAAAAGACTCATGGGAAGAAACCACAGATGCCGAAGTCTGTTGCTCTGGATCATAGCAGGCAGTTTGCCATCTCAAAACAGTCTGACAGTATCTTTCTCCCTGGTGGGGAGAGGTAGCAAAAGAATCACACACGCCTCCTTTAGTTACAGCATCAAAGCAATTACAGATGTTGACAAAATGGTGCCAGCCCTCTCTAAGAAGTTTCAAATATCTTACAAAGTACTCGAGGAAGCAAGTTTCTGATGAAATCAAAAAATCAAGAAGAACTGTGGAATCAAAAGAAATGTTCTTCAGAAGATATAAAAAGATGCAGTGAGGATTACAACCGCTCTCATGTGTCAGATCGTCCCAGGTTTCTTCGAGGCACAAATCACCAGCAGCAGCACGCCATAATCTGAAAAGTTATTAGTCAAACAGATTAAATCCATATATCTGGAAAATGCTATTGCTCAAGATTTTTAGTAAGCTCCGGTTCAGCATTGTACAGAAGATAAGCAGGATGAGTACTATGTCCTACTAGTTACACAGTTAAAGCAAATTTTTCCACCTACATATTAAGCATAGCACAACTGCTCTATCAGAAGCCCCAGCCAATATTTTTTTTTTTTAAAAAAGGGGAACTGCAGGTTGGGCATTTTCTTTGAAGGTCCCACAGCTTCGAAATCTGCTTCCCTCCTTACTCTGAAATGCTCTGAATTAACATATTGCAAAACTCATCTTTTGTTGTTGTTGCTTACCCTTCAGTTTTGAAATCTGGGATCAGTGAAAGGGAAAGAATTTTCAAAGTGGGAGAAGGATGAGATGTTTGAAGATGCCTGGCATACTTGCTGAAGTTTAATCTTATGACTGTACCACTCCATACACTAGGTATTTTTAGGTTACATCAAAGCACATGAATAAGTATTTTTGTTTTAATTTCTCCAAATCTAAAAATAAAAAGTAGGTAGTCTTACTTTTAAGATTCTAGGCAGCCTTTGATTTAGGCATCTAAATATAGATTTAATGATCTACAGGCCATATTCTAATTCTCGGGTACCTAAAACAATCCAAGGAGCCCACAAGGAGTGTCACTCTGTGGCTTAGTAAATAGGGCACTTTCCTGGGGAGCATGGGGGGATTACTGGGTTCCAGTCACTGCTGCCAGGATTGCTGGACAGTGATTGATTTAAAAAACAATAAGAGAAATCACACTGGCAACAGGGGCCAGAAACCAGGACTGCCATGTCCCAGAGGAATGTCCTCCTTGCTAGAACAGAGGCACATGCCCTCTTGCTTGCCCATGAAACTTGGACGCTTGGCTGGGCAATGGGTGAACTTCAGCCGGAAGGGTGGGGAGCTGCCCTGCCCCAGCCCCGTGTGTGATCCAGTGTCTAGCGCACTATCCTGGAAGTGGGAGATGTCCTTGAATCTCCTCAGGCTGAGGACAGCCTACAGCTCTGATCTCCCACTGCCTAGGTTAGTGCTTTTAATGCTAGCCTATTGGGCAAAAAGGTGCCACCATAATCAAGTGCAAACTCACTGCTGCTCTCAGTTAGGCATTCTGGTTTAGGCAAGCATCTCTCTTTTGAGCCATCTGTATTCCCAACACGACAGAACCACCACCCACACAGCCCTGAGCCCAACTCCTAAGCTCAGAGGAGCGGAGGTTCAAATAAACCCTGCCGCCAAGGATCTCTTAGCTGCATATGCCCCCACACTCAGCATCTAGGCAAACTGGGTCGCCCTTGGGAGGCTGCCTCAGGCTTCCATTCATGGTATAGCAAGTATGCTCACTTTGCTATACCATGATGGAAGACTGAGGTAGCCTCCCATGGGGACCCAATTTGCCTAGATGCTGAGTTGGCTTGCAGGGGGGAGGCATGCAGCTAAGAGATCCTAGGCACTAAAGTTTATCTCAACCTCTACTCCTCCTCTGAGCTTAGGAATTGGACTCTGTTGATTAGGATTGCCCTCCTGGGGAGAGAGGTCTAAATTTTAGGCACTGTGATACTGAAGCATGAGGCTCCTTAGAAGGCTGACTGGGATTTGGTCCTAAAACACTCTTAGCAGTAGTGTCATCATTCAAGCTTGACATTACAAAGGTATTCACCAAGCCAAGCATCTTTTAAACATGAGGATAATAATGTCCCAATTTCCATACAGGAAATTAAACAATGTTGAAAGAAACGGAGTTTTATGATAAATTCATACATCAGACAAATGGACATACTTCAGGTACTAGTGCTGTCAGTCATCACCAAGCTATGGGAGTTTGGCTTAAGAAACCTTTGTTGTAAGACGGGAGAGAAGTTCACTTAGGCTCAGTCCTTGGAGCTGAGGTACTTCAGCCCCTCTGCATTCTTAACATTGACTCCTAATGCTAAATAGTTCTCAAAAATGTCAGCATTCATAAATGCTCAGTCTAGCCTTTCAACATACACATATCTGTCACTCAAATCACACAAAGCTAGCTGTTGTGAATTAGAGGCCAGGACTGAGGCCTTAACAGAAAATTACTGCTCTGATAAACAGGGCTATCCAAAACCCAGTTAAATCAAAAAATGGCTGAGTTCCCACTAGCACTCCAGGTAATGGATATCACATTATACTCTAGTCTACACCCCTAAGAACTAGCTGTATCAATCCACTGAGAGGTTGTTAAGATGTATCATCTTCCCAAGTTCTTTGTATGCAATAGTTTCACAGTGCTTAGGGTCAGAAGGGACCTAAACAGATCATTAGGTCCAACCCCCTGCCCTGGGCAGGAACGAGTGCCGGGGTCATAACACCCCAGCCAGATGTGTCCAGCCTCCACTTGGGAGCCCATTCCAGAGCCTGGCAGCCCTAACTGTAAAGTAATGTCTCCTGATGTCCAGCCTGAACCTTCTCTCTAACAATCTGTGCCATTATTCCTAGTAAACCCGGGTGTGCCAGGGAGAACAGAGCCTCACCCAATTCCCACTGGTCCCCCCTGGGGAGTTTGTAAGGCCACCAGATCCCCTCTCAGCCTTCTCTTGTGGAGGCTGAATAGGTTCAGGCCCTTCAGCCTTTGTAGGGCCTGGCCCGCTGCCCCTCGACCATGCGAGTGGCGCTCCTCTGGACCCTCTCAAAGCTAGCCACATCCCTCTTGAAGTGCAGTGCCCAGTGTGGTGCCCAGAACCGGACACAGTATTGCAACTGCGGCCTGTCCAACGCCACATAGAGCGGAAAGATAACCTCCCTGGACCTGCTTGCAATGCACCTGTAGATGCATGACAAGGTGCAATTAGCCTTACTGATCAAAGACAAAAATATTATAGTAAAAGTTCTGCTATCCGGCATCTTACAAACTTGGCATGCTCCACTAACCGGCATGCCGGCTTGTAAGATAAAGTGAAACCAGAAGCGCCCACTGTGGCACTTCCAGTTTCTCCGAGCCCCCATGGCTCGGGGCAAAGCAGCCTGTGCTGCCAAGCCCCCACGGCCCGGGGTCATAACAGGCTGTGTGGGACCAACCTTCATGGGCAGCAATGCGGCAAGAGGGACGGCAATGCCGTGGGAGGGGCAGAGGGACACCCCAGACACGATGCAAGAAGCAGCAGCCGGGGCAGCTCAATTAACCGGCATCCCCCATTCCCAAGGGATGCTGGATAACAGAGCTTTTACTGTACTACTATTATTTAGTGAGATCATGCAATCCAGAGACACGCAAGTATTTTACAGAGGTCTAAATAAAATATGTACTAACCTATTCAACTTTAAATAAATGATTAATAATGCTTTAGCAGCTTCCAGCATGTCGTCATCTTGTTCTATAAAGACCACGGAAAGCCATTCACAAGGATGTTCAATTGGGTAAGAACGTGGAGATGACTTCAGATGGTTCTTCAAGAAGGTTAATAATATGGACATGAAACACCGCAGGTTTTCTAAAAATAGAGAAAGTGTAACTGTGACACTTTTTTTTTTTTTTTTTTTTAACAACACAGGAAAATGACAGAAAACACATGTCTTTAAATTAACAGTAGATAGGATGGAAGTTAGTCATGCAAACACACAGCCCTTGGCTCAGCTGCACTGACACTGCATCAAAAGGTTGTGAGGAATGGTACCATTTCTGGAGTCAATAATCCAAGGGACACGTGGTTTGGAAACAGCCATCAGCACAATAAATTTAGCCCAGGTACAAAACAAAACATATCTTTGCAAGCATAAATATTTTACATGTAGAAATTCTTACATTATTAATAGTCTAATATGAAAATTGATTCTCTGATTACATGCAGGATTTTTAATCAGAAGACTTGGCAATGGATGCAATTTAAGAACATGTGCAAATTTTTGATAACTAGCCTGGAAATCCTGCACTCCTTCTGCCTCACCCAGAAGAAAAAAAAAAAAAATAGAGGGCAGGGAACCTTTAAAATTTGGGGATGCAATGGGAGTCAGCCCCCCCCGCATCCAACTGCAAAATGAACAGGATTACACCTCTGAGACCTCATGTTTGCTTTGGGGGTCCTTATTTCCCCTTGGTTCCCAAACTGCATGGTTCTAGCCTCCCACAAAAGAACGGGGACTGCAGACACTGCATAAAATGAATTGACAAGAACCTCTAATTGAGATTCTCATACTTGTTCTTTCCTCTGTAAAGGAACAATCCAGCAGAGGGTGAAGACCCAGAGCCCTTCTCTGCAAATCACTGACGATGGACTCCCACATCAGCGGCTGCATAGCACTTATGCTTTCAGTTTTCTGTAAGCAGGGCACCGGAAATGTATAAAAAGGATGCGAGCAAGTCACAGTCTTCAATCTAAACCAATCTTCAGAGATTACAAGTGCCTTTGCATATGTGGGTGGTATTTTAAGATAAATGCTAAGGGATACAAAGGAAAACCTTGCCAGAAAATTACATTATTGAGTGAGTTTATAGGTTTTTCCTGAAAAACCTCGTGCTAGAATTACAATACCTTCTAGTTTTAAAATATCATCTCTGTACTCTCTGCCTCCATTAGCTGCATTGCCACATACATCCTGAGGACATGAGGGTAAAGTGATTCTCCCAAGAGAGAATGCCATTTTAATGCTGTGGCCGATACCTGGAAAATAGTTCCCTCTGTACATCATATTCACCCTTCTACAATGATGAAAAGTATAAAACTCTTCACCATTTCCAAAGCATATTAAAAGTATTCTCTAACCCAGTTCCTCATGTTCAGCATTAAAAAATTAAAATAGGAAAAAGACTGGCTTAGATCTTTATCAGATGACATTTCTTAGGTGAGAAGTGTTTATGGAGCTGGAAAAGTGTCACAGATTGAATGGTAAGGCTTAGTAATTTATCTAAATGGAAATTAAATACTGTGACAAAGTTTATTGCGTCATAAGAACCAAATTTGCTTAAAAACAAGTAATGCAGTTCACCTTGAAATGAGGTTTTATGGCTTGCTTCAATTTCTCAGGAAAGGAATAGAAATGTTAAATGATCATGCATGGTCAGTTACTATTCGGACTGAAAAAAATCAGGAAACTTTCCAATCTGCATGTGTAACTCAACAGCATCTGATAATACCTGTAAATTAGATGTGCTGAAATTAAGTAATTTTAACCCAGTTTAGCAAAGTAAAAAAAAAAAAATCCACTTCCACCTGAGCAATATATTTATATGCTCCTCTGCCTCATTTTAAAGTCACCTCTTACAGCATCATTTGAGAGAAGCAGCATCACTGCTTTCTATCTGAAATTTCCCATGTGTAGTTCTAAACACAGAAAGACTGTGGTGGTGGTAGTGATAGTTTAAGCTAATTGAAGACTTTTTATATATATAAGAATTTGAATAAATTAGAGGTTCTTCCACTTTTGAGAAATATAACTTTTAGAAATGCACATCTTAAAACAGTTCTCATCTAGACAAGTCTGCTTTAATTTTACTCATTTGCTGTCCATAAACACCAAAACCCTTATGTATTTTCAGGAGATAGATAGATAAATTCTGACGACAAGTATTAAAACAGGTAACATGCTATGATGTACTACAGTCAAACATTTGGACACTCTGTAAAAGATGGGTCTGGTTTGCAGAAATCTGGAGATCTACTTGTATAGTCCTCCAACACACATGCCACTGACAGATGGTCATCTCTACTGGCCACCTCCACCTTCAGGGGAGCCCATCACTCGACAGTGTCTTCTTCCCTGCCTGGGAACAAGCAGGCTGTCAATAGGCACCCTCTCCCCAAAAAGGTTTTGAATGGTCTCGTGTGTACCCCAAATGGGGCTACACATGGGGTGATTTAAAGCTGGAGATGCAGGGAAGCAAGGCAAGGGACAGCCTGAATCCTGGCCCTCTAAATGAAATTTAATTTAAAATTTAAATTTAAAATTGCTGCATGAGTCACTCAGCTGGGTGGTATTTAAAACCCACAGGACTGGGAACCAGGGTAGGGTAGCTTTCCCAGCCCTGGTTCTCTACCCTTCTGACTTCGAAATTGCTACCCACATTGTTATCCAGGGAGTGGGAATAGCATTTAAAGTCCAGGAAGTCAGGAACCAGGGTGGGGATAGCTTGTGTGGCCCAGTTTCCCCACCCCACAGGCTTGGGGGAAAGAGAAAAAAAAAAAAAAATTTTATATATATATATATATATATATCACTGCGTGTGCTGCTCAGCTGTACAGCACAGGCAGTATGCACAGCCCAGAGCCAGGAACAGCTTCCCCAGCCCTGGTACCCAACCCTGCTGGCTTTGAAACCACTACCTGTGCCGCTCAGCTGGGCAGCAGGGGCAGCATTTAAAACCCTGTTTATGGCCCTAGTCACAATACTATTTCCAACATTGCTTGAGCAATCTACTGTATTTACAATAAAGATATAAAAAAAACAAACAAGCTCAGAAGCTACTAAGATTTCATCAATACTGAAGAAAACACAATCCACACTCCAAATCACACTCAAAATACCATTATTTATGGGGGGGGGGGTTCCCCCCCCATAAATTCCATCCCCGTTTGTACACTGGTCATCAACCTAGACTTTTCACTACTTCAACCACCGACTGACAAGGAACATCCAACAAGTCTTTGCCTTCCACTATTCAGCCAGAAACATGGTCTCAGAGCAACCATTCCTGTTTTTCTTGAACATGTGTCCCCCTGCCTCATCCGTTCTGCAATATATGCATATTAGCAGGGGAGGGAAAAATGTGCCTTACTCATACTAGACTCAATCCCAGGGGTTAGTACAGGAGAGAGTGAAACAATATCTGCAACCACATCCTAACCAATCTCCTGTGCTTTTATTATGCTTTCACTTTATGACTTCCTCCACTTCTCCTATTATTGCTATCCTCTTGTCTCATAGTACCTACGATTTTTGTCCAGCAATAACATCTAATGCTTTCAACCAAGATTATGAGCCCCGTTATATTCATGCTCTCCTACACCATCAAATAACAAACCAGGAGTAACAGTTCCACAAACTGACCAGATGCAAGATAAACCAGGGGTGCTCAACTCCTAGCCCACAGCACACAGACAGTACATGGAGTCTTGTCACCCAGACTCCAAGTTTAGCAGCTGGGGGGAGAGAACAGCATCACCTGTTGCTTCCCAGCTACCAAACTTCCAGGCCTAAGGGGAGCCCTACAAGCAGATAGTGTAGCCCTGCACACTAGGGTGAGCGCATGGGGCTGGGGCAATATCAGGTTCAATCTGGGTGGCACAAGGGAGGATCTGGGCACAGGGCACCCGAATCAGATAAAGTGAGGCCCAAATCCACACATTGACCACATCTGGGATCTGGCCCAAGGACTGGCCCCGTCCCACTTATCCAGCCTGCAGGACCAAAAGGTTTAACACTACTGAAAGATAGTAGGCAAGGATAAGGTAGGGTTAGCATATGTCCAAGTTTTCCCAGACATGTCCTTTTCTTGGGTCCTCCAATCTCTGTTCAGGCAGTATTTTGAAATATGAACAAGTGACTTGGAGTTTGCTGATAGAACTGCATTCCTTGGCTTGCCCTAGCGGCATGCTGGTTTACCAGGGAACCGGGTTTTCCGTCTGCTGTGGAAAAAAAAAACAAAAACACATTTTCTTCTTTAAAAGGAAGAAACCACAGGTTTCCCCTTGCAGACTGGCAGCCTTCCAGCCTGCAAGGAGCTGCTTCGGGCGACTGGAGGCAAGGGGTGCCAACTGTGCCTGCATGCTCACATGTGTGTGGCTGGCATACGGCCAGGCAGGGTGGTGGAAGCAGCCCCAGCAGCTGGATGCAGGTAAGTTTATGGAGAGTGGGGGGTGGAGGGGATTGGTATGTGGGGAGAGATGGGCGAGGCTGAGTGGGGGGTGGGGAGGAAGGCCCTGCCAATGCTTGGGGAAGCTGTCTGGCCACTGGGGCTGGGGGGTGAGGGGGAGGCACCTGCCCCTCCAGCAGGGGAAGGGAAAAGTTGGGGGGGGCCTTCAGGGGCTGCAGGGAGCTGTATGGTCAGGTCAGAGGCACTGGGGACAGTGCCTGAGCTTGCAGGGGCAGGGCAGCCAGGAGATGCTACCCAGAAGGAGCCATGGCCAGGCCACCTGGCACAGTGCAGGTGCCACAGTCCAGAGTGGGGGGAAAGCCACAGGCCTCCCCTCCTCCTCCCTCCAGCCTATGCTGGACTCACTCCATTGCCACCCACGAGTTGAAGCCGCTGCACTCCAACCCGGTCATGACAGGGGAGCTGAGGGCCCCCTCCAGCAAGGCTGGGCAGGGGGCTGCAGGTCAGGAGTGAAGGAAACCGGCAGGGCTGGGGGCGCAGGGGGCTGCAGGTCAGGAGGGGCACTGGCGGGGTTGCGGGAAGGACTGTGGGTCGGCAGTGCAGGCCATCAGCAGGGACAGGGGGCTGCAGGTTGGGAATAAGGGTCACCAGCCTAGCCCATGGGAGTGCGGGACTGTGGGTTGGGAGTGAGGGACAACAGCAGGGCCTGGGAGGATGGGGGACTGCCCCCCCCCTCCCCCAACAGGTGTCCTGTTTTTTGGAACTGGAAATATGGTAACCCTCAGAGCTGACCTGAGCAGGGTGTGGGGCCCGGGGCAAAAATCAGCCCATGCAGGGCCCTGCCCCTGCTCTGATCCCACACGCCCCCAGACCCAAAGAACGTGCCATTGGCAGTGGTGGTGGTAGTGGGGGACACAACAGACAGCGGCTGGACGCGAAGTCACTGGGGGCAGCATGGAGTTGCCACAGCTGGTCTGCCCAGCTCTGCAGGACCCCACAAAGTGCGGGGCCTGCGGCAGTCGCCCCAATTTGCCCCCACCTAGGGACAGCCCTGGTAACCCTATTTAAGGTCATAGCTTTAGATCATCAGTTGTTGCAAGTCCTAAACAAGGTGTTCCCAAACATATGGTTTACTGAATTTTAAAAGGAGAGAATCTTTGCTGTACTATTTTAAGTCTCAAGGATCTTTGTTTGCAATTTTGAAGAGCTTTGTCTGGATCACTCGTAAGCTTTAAAATTTTATGCTGCTTAATGAATTCAAACTGCAAAAAGAAAGATTTACCTTTGACTTCAGCTTCCTCAGCAGAGTTCTGGATCTTTGTTTCTAAAGCTTTCAGTAAAATCAAGCTTAAAGCTCTGATGATTACTTGGTCAGGACCAGTGCGGACACCACCTTTAGGCTGAGTTTCACTGCCTCCGAAATAGCAGGCTTTTTCACTAACAGTTATTTGATTCATCCACCCCAAATCCACAGCTTCCAGTAGAGCAGCAGCCAATGTTACCATATCCATATCTAAATAAGGATCCTGTAGGGATGGTGTTAGTAACAATCCTTTTGTGAAATCTTCACCAGCTTTACAAAGGATACATTTCTTAACAAGCATAATGGACTTCTTCTTGATTAAATAATGAACTGATGAACTAGCAAGGCCCAGGATGTAAGTAGTTTTCAAAAATAAAATTCTTTGGCATCTGAAATGCAATGCTAGTTGGAATCTGCAGGCCACAAGAACTTCAAGCAAATCTATGAAAGCAATTAAGTCATTTGAGGTTTTAGAGTGTGCTGATGCATCTTGGTGGCTGTCAAAATGATGAAACAAAATGGAATCATGAAATCCTTCAAGTACGGCATCAAGAGGAGTGAAAAGCTTCTTCATTATATCTGTAATAACAATCACTATGTTAAAGAGGGTTGAAGTTGAGCTCCTGAAGTATAACTGAATTATGCAGACCATTTAAAATATTTTTTTTACACCCTGAAGTGGCATCAGACCATCTTTCAAATTCAATTTTTTTTTTTGGAGAGTACTTAATTTTAGTTTTCTAACATACATTTTTCCTTTGACAAAGAAAATAACCTGCTGCCATTAGAATACTCAGGCAGCCTTACTGCCCTGCTACAGACATGATATGTAGCCTTCCTACCTCTACTGGACACTTACAATAATTTGATGCTATTAATATGCAGTACCTGCTTTGCACATATCTTCATCTTTCAAAACATCTCTAATAATTGCTGTAAGAGTCCATAGACATTCTGCTGCTTGAACACTCCTTGGGAATTCTGAAAGAGTCTTCAAACAAAATGCCAGCCAGGTGACATTTAATGAATTCTAAAAAACAAATAAGAAAAATCACTTTCATGAATTTATATTATAAATATATCTTTAGTTAAAGCTGTTGTACACTGTAAGCTTATACAACATTTAAAATTTTAAATTACAAACAAGAGTGCAGGGTAAGGCAAAAGGAAACAGAATACAGTCGTGCAGAGAAAAAACATGGAGGTCTTATGTGGAGTGATGCTGTAGTCCTGATGGTCCAGGAAACATAAGAGGAGATGATTTTTTGGAATGATATTTTTTATTGGCCCAACGACATAGGGAGGAAAGATTTTAGGCAAGCTTTCAGGCACAAGGTACCTTTCCTGAGGGCACCCAAGGAAAGGTACCGTGTCCCTGAAAGCTTATCTTTAAAAACAACCCCCCCCCCCAAAAAACAGACAACAAACAAACAAAAAAAAACCCCAACAACAAACCCCTCTTCCCCACTATATCTGGTCCGCTAAAAGACCATCCCAAAAATTCTTGCCTCTCACATTACCCATGGCAGTAATTCAGCTAAAATTCCTTTATTAAATCCAAAGGCCAGTAGCAATTACTTGAAATGAACGTTTTAAAAATATATAAATGACTGCACCCATAAAGTAGTTAGTTACAGACATTTGATCAAAATACTTACAACTGGGCTAAGGAGCAAGAAATTCTAGCAACCCCACAGTAGTTGGTTCCAAATAACCTCTCTCTCTCCATTTCATGCCCCTATCTTTCTCATTCTATCATCTTTTGCAGGAGTCATTTCTTTTCCAGATCCTGATCAAATCTGGCCCCAACCTTACATTCAGCTCAATCCTGTTTTTCCTAAAATAAATCTACTCCTTTCTTTGTTTATCCTGGTCCATTCTTGATGGGTTTTCCTAGACGCACTCAAGCCAAGTGGCAGGCTTCTTTCTATTGTTTCCTAGCTCTCCTCTGCATTAGCTTATCTCTGTTCCTTTGCCTAAAGCTTAGTACCTTCCACCTAAAATTAACATTTTAAATTATACTCTCCCTCTCTCCCCACCCCCAACCATGGGCTCCTGAAGTTGAGTGAGGCTTTACATAAGAATATACTCAAACATACCATCATCTATAACAGTAGGGGGGCCTCCCTTTTTGGGAGGCTTGCTACAAGCCCTGCCTGCGCTGAGTGCCATTCCCATCCCATTCTGTTGCTCTGCCCAGTGCTTCCTACCCAATCTGTGCTGTTTTTGGCTTCCCGCCTTGTCTGCTGCTGTGTGCCCTGTTCCTTCCCTGATCTTCCGAATGCCATTCGTAGATGCCACCCATGCCACTTGCACGGCAGGTTGGCCACTCTGTCCTCTAATGACCTTAGCATACTACAAAACGAACCCTACAAGCCTGCCTGCCAATACCTCACAAATGTACTGTCAGTGAGGCTCACCCCACCTCGGTGCCCATATACTGCTATCTTGTATGACCTTTTCTATTTGTTTTTGAAGGTAGCTCTAAAAATCTCCAGTGATAAAAAAAATTAGGATTGGAAGAGAGGGAAAGTGGAACTTCACGTGCAGCAACACTAATGATGGCAGCTACAGAGACCCACTATCTAAATTTTAAAACCCCTTTTGGAAGGAGGGGGCACAGAAGATTTGCTTACTGTGCAGACAGGAGGTTGCAGATGAAAAATGGAAGCCAGCAGCTCTGCTACTGCTCTGTGGCCTGAGGGCATGGAAAATCCTACTGTCCACCATCACAATCAGATGCTGCCCATTTACACAGGCTGTGCTGTGAAAGATTTAGCTTTTAGACTATGCTGTTCTATGCAATCTGACCACTTCAAAAGGTCAGCAACAGTTAGATGGACAACTAGAAGGACTGTATCCACCAAGTATCCATCCTTACCTTCAGTTACATATAGACAAAGCAACCCCACAAACTTACGTCTTCCTTTAGCTGGAAATACACAAGGGAGGCCGTACCCTTTGAAGCCATGTGAGATAACAGTTTATCAGAGCTACCTAACAGCCAGATCTGTAGACATGAAGAAGAAAAAAAAAAAAAAAAAAGTATTTGTCAGTTTTGTGAAGTTTAGGGTTTGGGGGTTTTTTTTTTTGGTTTTTTTTTTAAGAAAAGCTGTGAAAATAGTTGTAAGAGCTTACTAATTTTGAGTCAGCTTGTGTCTCCTTTAGAAGAATTCTAATTATATCACAGTACTTCTGTCTTATGCTGTATTCAGTTTCCTTCGACTGTACTTTAGTGAGCATCATTTCAATCAAGGTTAACTGAAGTAGCATTATTTCCCGTGGACTGAATGCTGAAAAGTTTGTGTTTGCAGAGCTATCAGATTTATCATCAGTCAGGAAGGCAACAGCATCTGAAACTGTGGAGTCCCGATGGCTCCTAATGCCACCGTTAGTAGATTCCAGACGCATTTGATTATGTGACTCATTACCTCTTGCAGATGAAGGCTTTGGAGAAATATGAAGGTTGAGAAGAGAGGCATAATCATAGCTGTCCTTTGCTAATGGACTGCCTATCAGCACATCACTATGCATCTGCTGTAGAAGAGATTGATCCCCCATTCTGGAAAGATTTTAAAACCTGAAGAAAGTCTTAAGCTTTTGCATGTTACTCACAGGCATTCTGTATCAGTTCTGCTCAGAAAAAAGAACTGGCTTTGAGTGGTATTTCTTTTATCCTGGTTAAAAAAAAGAAAGAGAGAGAGTTGTGATATTGAACATAACAGATTAGAAGGAAGATATACATGAAGTTGGATCATGAATTGGGCCCCACATTTAAAATGAATACTACTGTTGTTAAACATACTTTGCAGGAAAGTGTGGAAATATGTATTCACTATATATTTTTTAAATGGGCACCCTATAAAACCCTTCTTTCAAACTTCTGAAAGTATTAATTCAATAATATAAAAAACTCAGGACCTTGTAAAAATATTCTGAATTGCCACAAAGTTCAGAACACCACACGCAGGGGGCTGCTGAATACCATAAGCAGGGAGCTACACACAGACCTAGAACCTGGCAACCCAGAATACCACAAGCAGGGGGCCATTCTGAATTGCCATACAGTTCAGAGTCTTAATTTTAAGTCTCATTTAAAAAAAAAAACAAAACAGTGCCTCCGGCAGCACAGTATCACCTACCTGCATGCTGAGCTGTTGATTCAGTACCAGGAGAAGACTGCCACCTACCGGATCGCCAGGAAGGATCTGTCAAGCAGGAATAGGGGCTTAAGTCAAGATGAATATCCTGAACTGTCCTTGTTTGCACAACATGCTGCAGTGCTGGTTTACCTGGAGAAAATGCACACAACTTTCCTTTCAAAGTTATATTCAATGAGAGTTCAATATGCATAAGAGCTTGTTTTGACTAAACAGACACCTTTCCATACTTTCACAGCTCTAGACATACCAGCAACTAGCCTGCTTGTCTTTTACAGCCATTCCATATACTAATGGCATTTTTAGATAGCTAAAGGCCTTAAAAAAAGAAAACAAGGTGTTCACACTTCACTGAATTAGAGAACAATAAAGATTCCAGTCCTGTAAATGAGTTCTACCGAAATCAGTGCAACTCTGAACCAGCAGCCAGATTTGTCTGTACAAGTGATTCTCAACCAGGGTCCCACAACATTCTTAAGGGTGCAACACAATATGTATACTGTTAGGTGTGCAAACACCTACAGAGGGCTCACAAGATAAGCCCTGAGATTTCAAATAGGGCCTCAGACCATCAAAAACATTCTGACCTGTTGTGATCTGAGGTTTTTTGCAATAGTGGAATTCAGGATCAAATGAACCTCTCTTGCACAGGGGCTCAAGTGGAACACCGTGCCCACACTGGAGGGCAAAAATGAGCCCTTAATACAAGTAAAAGGGACAAAACAGAGATGCTAGATATCTCCATTTTCAAAAATGGTCTGTAATTGAGTATCCTGAGACCAAAAGTTTGCTTTTGAGATGTGCTGAGCACCCAACAGTCCCATTGAAGTGGATGGGAACTGTGGATACTTGCTGCTTTAGGACATCAGGCTTGTCAAAATCACCAGATGAGCTACCCAAAATGATGTGTCATGTCTACAAACCTGGGTCTAAAAGCCTGCACATGTTCCCAAATATATATATGAAAACCCCTTCAGTGGGAAACCAAAACATGTTTTAACCATACAAACTGCTTCCTGTCCTCGCAGTGGCAAGGCATGGATAATGCTCTGCTCCCCCTGCTTTAAATGGGGCAAGTTAAAGGATGTTTTTGCTGTTTAAGGTATTGCGCACATTTGTGGATAAGGGTTGTTTTAGTGAGATTAGATCAGGGGGCAGCAATGTTTTGGGGGCAAAGTGCCAAAAACATCCACAGTCTTGACTTGTAAGATGTTGGCATGGCATGGGTGGACAGTGGGAGAGCTGCAAAGGGCCTGATCCTTGCTGTGGCAGCATAGCCCTGGTCCCTTCCTGAAGTGCCAGGCAAACTGACGAGCAAAATGCCGGTGCACACCCCAATCTGGCACGCATGCTGCGGCTTACCTAGCCTTGGGTTACACAAACACTAACTTGCCTAGGATGGTTCAGAGTAGGGGGCTGGATTAAGTGATCCCCCGAGGTCCCTTCCAATCCTACTTTCTATAATTTTTGGATAAAAAGATGCTTCATTGAATTTGTTATTGAAGATATGTTTTAAGTATCGTATTTTCTTGCATGAAATACAAACCCAAATAAAACATGCACCTTGCTTTTGGATGGCCAACTTTGTGACATCAAGTCCTCCTAGAAACAGTGTCTCAGGAAGTATGGCACCCCAGAAGACAGCCTAGGTGAGGCTGCAGACAGCAGGAACTCACCCAGGAGGACTTACTGTCACACAAAGTTAGGCCCCAGGCAGTTCCTATAAACATAGTGCTGTTTCCACACCATAAGCCTCATCAGGATACTACAACAGCTTACTCTCTGGTTCAGGCATGAACTACAGTGCACAGCTAATAGCTACAGCTGTGAGAGGGTTCGCACAGGTGCCCCTTTACTTTGCTGATCCAGACAAACAACAATCATCTTGGTAGATGCATGGCATGCACAGTGTTTCCAGGCTTGCTTCTTTACCAGCAAAAAATAAAATAAAAAGAACAGCTTTGTATAATGGCCACAAGCTAGCAGAGAGCAGATTTAGACTGGACATTAGGAAGAACTTCTTCACAGTTCGAGTGGCCAAGGTCTGGAACAGGCTCCCAAGGGCGGTGGTGCTCTCCCCTACCCTGGGGGTCTTCAAGAGGAGGTTGGACATGCATCTAGCTGGGGTCATCTAGACCCAGCACTCTGTCCTGCCTATGCAGGGGGTCGGACTCGATGATCTATTGAGGTCCCTTCTGACCCTAACATCTATGAATCTATGAAGCTTCCCTGCTTAATAGATCCCAGTTTGGAGGGGGAACGACACTGATTTTGGGGGCAGGTATATGTTGTATACAAGAAAACACAGCAGTACCCCAATGATTTAATATGCTTACAGAAAGAAGGTACTAAACATTTAATGGTGTGGACAGACATAATGCTTAGCATGTCCTACATACACTTTAAGACCCCAGAGTCTACATGTGCACAACATTTAAGATGGGTGTAAGCTTTCCTAAATGTTTTAAAAGCACACCAAGGATACCAAGTCCTGTTTTAAACTGGTCCTCATGAACCAGCATGTTCCAGCCCAGACACAGAGAACTTCATGCATAGTGTGTGGTCAGTCCTTCAGGCAACCCCAGCTGTACCACCACTCCTCCCCACCCCCAAACACATGCAGGGCAAGGGGATGCTCTGGAGTGCATGTAGGACTACTGCCTATAGAGACCACAGCTTGCAAGGGTGGGGAAACAGGAAGCCTCTGTCATTTGGCTCATCTGGGGCATGGGGTGGGGAGTCTGTATCACACCCTGCTTATAGTTCTTGGGGACGGGGGGGGGGGCAGGGCAGCCAGCCCCCATGAGAACTGCAGCTTTTCAACCCCTGCCCTGAAAACCAATTTCACCAATTTCATTTCTCTGCATGGACCCTGTGTTGCAGGTCCCAGATTCATTTGGGGTGGGGGGTGAGAATGAAGAGGCTGCCACATGGTTGGGGGAAGCTGTGAACCCTGCTTGTGGTTCCCAGGAGGCTGGGTACTCTAGGGGCTCCCCAATCTCTTTGCTTTTTTATTTTGGCAAGACTTGCACTGGAAAGTGAACGTCACTTCTCTGCACGGACCTCGTGCTGTAGCTTGCAGGTCCATTTGGGGCACGGGGTGAGCAGAAAGATTACAAGATGCTAAGGGGGGCAGGAGTGACCCCTGCTTGTGGTGCCCAGGGGGCAACATGCTCCAGCCCCACCTCAAAAATCTCCTTTTTTACCTTCATTGCAAAGCATTTTGTTGATTCATTTCCCTGCAGGACCCCGTGCTGTGAACCTCAGGCTCATCGGAGGTAGAAGGTAGTGGAGGGGTTGCCAGGTGTGCAGCCCCCCCCTTGAGGTTCTGAGGGGGCTGGGTGCTCCAGGACCACCCCTTCCCCACCCAAGAACTCTGCTGCTTTTTCAACCCCTGCCCTGGAAAGCCACCTTGTTGGTTTTATCTCTTTATGGACACTGGGCATCACAGCCCCAAGCCTGCCTGGCACCACAAGCAAGGGGCCACACAGTCATCCCCACTTTCCCCTGCCTAGCACTTGGCTACCTTTCCAATCCCACCACCACCACCCCAAAAGAGCTCCAGGCCTGCAGCTGCAGGGTCCATAATGGGAAGGTGAAAATGACAAAATGGCTTTTAGGACAGGCATTGAAAAGGCACAGAGTCCTGGGAAACATGAGCAGGGGGAGCACAAAGCTCCCCCTACCCCCCCAGCAACCTCCCCCAACCCAAATCAATCTGGAATCTTGCAGCATGGGAAGGGGAAATTACCAGAATGCTTTCCATAGCAAAAGGGGAGATCTTGGATTGGGCAAGCATGTCCACCCTCCCCCCAAGCACCAAAAGCAAGGGTCACTTAGCCCCCCCATCAACACCTAGCAAACCTTTCACTCATTTCCCCCCTCCTCCCCACCCCAAAGGAGCAAGGGACCCAGTAGCTTCAGGGCTTCTATGCCCTGGAAGGTGAAACAGCTTTCAGGGAAGGGGCTAAAAAACTACCAAGTTCTTGGGAGGAATCCCTTGAAAAACCCACCAGGAACTATGAGCAAGAGGGTCACACTGGTGCCACATTACCTGGTAACCCTTCCACCCTGCACCACCCTCCAGCCCTATACGAGTCAGGGACCCCACCAAGTGGTGTCTAGGCTTTTCTCTCTCTCTCCACACACCTGCAATCCCTAAAAGGTTCTATGCAGAGCCCTCCCCTTCAGCAGTGTAGGTGCAGACACCTCTGTCCAGGGACAACCGTGAACCAATTTGCAACCCATGACATTTTTGGAACAGTCCAATTGTCATGTTAGTCCACACACTTACGGTCAGAGAAGCTATTCTTTCCAAGCAGCTCTAGGTAGTCACGCTGCTATGCAACACCACCAACACCTTTACGCCACAATTACAACCACTCCTGTTTAACAGCAATCTATGCCATAGTGATTTCCAGGTTTGCAATACTCAAAACTGCAGGGCTGTCTGCTTAAAAAGAACTTTTCTTCTAGGGAGCATGTTTAGAGCTTGCCCTTTAAATCTGAGACAGCCAGCCAGGTACAGTCCTAGACTGATCATTTTATTACTGGTAGCAAGTACTTACCAGTTGGGAAAGAGATAATCAGTTTCTTTTTCCCAGTTTCTCCTTTTTTATTCTTATCTCATAAAAAAGGGAGCAGTCTCTAACAATTCCCTGAACATCTATCCATTATATACGCAAGTACATAGTAGCAAACAAAACAATGCAATTTACTTATCGTTAATCATGGATTATTTTGACTGGTAGTCTAAAAGTGTGACAAATATTCTGCTGTACCACTCGGCATATGCAGTGAATTTTTTAGCCTAACATCTCTAAGCAGCTTCCAAAGTATTTCCCCTTCCTTTGTTGTATTATCCCTCAATCTCCCATTAAAACTGCCGTGTAACCTTGGAAAGTCATGTAACCTATTTATACATCGGTGTCCACTTTTGCACTGTGCATGTGCAGAAGCTGAGAGAGTAAAGTGACTTTCCAAGGTTACAGAGCAACTTAAATGACAAATTGAGGGATAGAACCCAGACTCCTGACTACCACAACCTGCCCATATTTTGTCTCAGACAGAATTGAAAATTGGATGATAAGGCAGTGTGTGCTGCCAGCTATCAAAATGTGCACATTTGTCACACAGATTCTCAGGTATTTTTTTGGAAAATATCATTCAGCAAGGTCTGACCTGTAGAAGCTAGAACCTTACCAAATCTTGGACAGGATGACACTGGAATACCACGTTATTTTGTTGTCTACATGTCCCATTTTCAACACAATTAGTCTAAAATATGGAGATACTTCTATATTCAATTGCAGAATATACTTAGCATTCTATATGGAATAGAAATTATAATCTAAAACTTCATACAATTTCTTCAGAAGTCAGCTTGCGGCTAAATTTATACAAAGTACTGTTCCCATCTTCAAGGTCTATTTCTACCTAAATGAATATACAACAGAATAAAATTACATTTCCGCACATTTACAAAGGGTTTGAATAAACACAACTGAATGACTGTTCTACATGTGACACGAGTAGATCTCTTGTGTAATTTATACGATACAGGGATGCTGTTCGGGTGAAAGAGACTGAGAACTCCTCTAGGGCACGCACTAAGAAATTCTACCTTTGCAACAGGATATTGGCTGTGCTTTACCTGATCATATCTTAACACATGTAAGTGGCAGCATTAAGATAAAGAACGTTTTACAAATGCCTATAGCATGTCCCAAACAGGACAACAGTTCAGAAGGGAAAGAAAAGATAATAATTAAGAAAGAAGTGGCAGAGATTCTTTAAAAGGTGGGTATTAAGCATCTGAAAGAGGGTGAATGAAGGAGGATGGATGGTACCGGAGGATGAAGACAGATTGTTTCAGGATAGTAGCGGGGGAGGGTAGTACAAGATGGCATGAAGCCAAAGTGGGGAATAAAGAAGCAGTAGCATGACAGCAAAGCCATGTTAGGAACAATGTCTTTCAATTTTATCTATTATTTTTTGTATTTTGACAGGATCAAGGTTGGGAACCACTAAGCAAGGCAAGTCCAGCACTGTACCTAGGCAGCTCCTGTTGAACTTTTAGTATCGGCCTCCCCCTTTGCCAGAGATAACGATCATAATAACCAAAAAATTACCATTTTCGGGCTCCCTTCTTGTCTGGGTCCCGAGCCGCCCATACCGGTGACTGGCACTGGGCAAGTCTTACAATCCAAATGGACAAGACAGGTGACAGCATGATGTCAAATAGCACATTAGTGCCGTGATTTTTTTTCCATTATCCTTTAAAAACCAATAGCAAAAACTAATCATTGCACAGTGGGTAGGAGAAAGCCACTACCTTCTTCCCCTTCTCCCTTCCTTAAAGGAAGAGCAAGGGAAAAAAAAAAAAAAAAAGAGACACTGAAAGAGAAACAGGTACAAGGTTGCAGACAAAAGCCTTGGAGGGAAGTGGCTTGAAACTGTTCTCAGGAATATCATACACCAGGCAAAAGAAACTTAAACAGGTGGTCGCTATAGGCAGTCCTCGACCTAAAACGTTTCAAGTAACAACGGGTGGCACTTATGACATTTATAAATGGACTTTCCGACGTCAGTTTTGACTTTACGACGCTTAATCTGACGCCACGCCAGCGAACAAGTTTGCTGCATCGCCCATCTCCCTGGAGAACATCTATCCGCACTTCCTTGGACGCTTTCCTTACGAAAGCAGACAAGACTCCAGAAAAACCTGCAGCCAGGACTCCTGAGAAGACTCCCCCCCTTCAAAAACACCCATCTGAGAGCCCGTCACAAACTCCAGCAAAGTCACCTCAAAGAAGCCCTTCCAAATCAGTAAGATTGCTATTGACAATAGAAATACATTCATGCAGCTATGTTACACATCTATAATTGATCAAGTACAATATCCTGCATTATTTTGGGGGGAAAATAAGAGTATCGGGCCTTGGTTCAGGAACCAATCCCCCCTTTATAACATGGTTTCCTTTGGGAAAATCAGTTCTGAGTTACGACATTTCAACTTGCCGCACCCGAGCACTGCCCGTATCCCCAAAAACATCCCTGAAAAAGACTGGTCAAGTCCACGTACCTTTCCAAAGAAGGACATTTCGCCTCATATCTGCGCACAGAAATCCGTTTTTTTTTTTTTAAATGAAGAATGGTGAAATTGCCCTGCACCGTTTCCTACATTCGAAAGAAACAGCCATGATCATTATGATGATGATTTTACATCAGACGTAACCACACAAAGCACTCAATCATTCACATGTGCCACGTTATTCCCACAGTGAGAGACGTGGGGCTGGCAGGACCCAGCCCCTCCCCCGCAACCCAACCCAACCCAACCCCAAACTCTATATTTTTTAATATATATATATATTTTTTTTTAAAGAAAATGTTTCAAGCCAAATCAATTCCAGCTCCGAGGCCCCAGGGAGCAGGGGCCAGGGCAGCCCTAGGACGCGTGAGCAGAGGTGGCAGGTGGAGGCCGCCCCCGCGACGGCCCCCAGGGACCCCCGCCCTCACCTGGCGCCTAGGCCGCGCCCGCGCACGGTTGCTAAGCAACACCCAACCGGGCGCGACAGGGCCCAATCCTCTCCCC